GCCCCCCCCCCCCTTTCTACGAAATAATTTCGCGAAATTTTGTGCATCTTATAATAATGCAATTTTTTTAAAAATGTGCCAGTGAAGTAAAATTCAAATTTGTTAACTAGCTCAAATCTTATTCAGTGACACTTACAGAGTCAGTTGCATCGTTTTTAACTGTTTTCCCTTGAGCTACCTGCTCGGATATTCTGATCCAGTGAGTTTATCTTTAACATTACTATTTGCTGGAGTAGTTTACCTTGAACATGGGATAATTTTGCTGGAGTAGTTTACCTTGAACATAATGATAATCTTGCTGGAGTAGTTTACCTTGAACATGGTGATAATCTTGCTAGAGTAGTTTACCTTGAACATGGTGATAATCTTGCTGGAGTAGATAGGAAGGTTTGTAGGGGTTGATGGAAACTAGACTAGGACCAGCATACGTGTAGATCAAGTTGTTCCCGTACCTGGAGTACAAACAATAAATTATTAAATGTACTGTACTTGGAGTACAAACAAGAAATTATGAAATGGACTGTACCTAGAGTACAAACAAGAAATTATTATAGGGGCTGTACCTTGAGTAAAAAAAAAATTATTAAAGGGACTGCACCTACAGTAAAAACAAGAAATTATATGTACTGAACCTACAGAAAAAACAAGAAATTATATGTACTGTACCTACAGTAAAAACAATAAATTATATGTACTGTACCTAAAGTAAAAACAAGAAATTATATGTACTGTACCTAAAGTAAAAACAAGAAATTATATGTACTGTACCTAAAGTAAAAACCAGAAATTATTAAAGGGACTGTACCTAGAGTCAAAACAAGAAATTAAATCTACTGTACCTAGAGTAAAAACAAGAAATTATTAAATGGACTGTACCTAGAGTAAAAACAAGAAATTATTAAAGGGACTGTACCTAGAGTAAAAACAAGAAATTATTAAATGGACTGTACTAAAAAAGTATTGTGGAATGGAAAAAAAACATTTAGAAGCTCAAATAAATAAATACTTTCAAAGCAAGTTAAATCATATCATGTACAGTAAACTCCTGTACAGACCTGAGAAATGCAAGATCTTCAACCCTGTGGAAGGTCGGAGGATTGGCTCGTTATACATCATCCTCTTCAACCTGAAATCAATCAATCAATCAAATCATTTGATACAGTGGGCGTCGTATATATCAAAACAATGAAGACGACTTTCGGTTTCAATTTTGAATTCTACCAAGCTTATAAAGACAATGGATACACATAAACATTAAAACAATGAGAATCTGTCATTTTAAATTTTTTTAAAAACTTTATTGTATTGATATAAACGCCGACCACTGTAAGTAATTCATGATCATTGTTATTAGTTCTGAAGACTAAAAAATGGAAGGGATAGTGGGAACAGGAAGCAAATATTTGGATAAAGAAATCCGAATAATTAAATTAATAGCCGATTCAGGACAGCAATTGATAGATTAGCTTGTTTGTTAAATAGGTTGAGAATACGACATTAAAAAACTATAGCTATGTATTCATATATCTGAGATTCATTGTAGAAAATATATTCAGGGTGGCCAAAACTTTTTTGAACTAATCCGTAAAAAAATCCGTACATTTTCAGAAGAAATCCGTACAATTTTCGAAAAAAAAATCCGTACAATCCGTACAATTTTTTTTAAAAATCCGTACAATCCGTACATTTTTTTAAACCAATCCGTACATTTTTTTAAAAATCCGTAAATTTTTTTTAAAAATCTGTACAATCAGTACAATTTTCGAAAAATATCCCATTTATGAAAAAAAACATTAAAATTCAATTTTTCATTCATTGTCCTTTGTGTTCAGTTCATGTAAGAGGGTTTAAACTTCTTCAGCAAGAATCAATCTGTAAAAAATTGGCTTCATACATATATACAAACTAAATACTGGATACTGGATACTGGATACAGGATACTGGATGCAGGATGCTGGATGCAGGATACTGGATGCAGGATACTGGATGCAGAATACTGGATGCAGGATACTGGATGCAGGATACTGGATGCAAGATACTTGATGCATGATATTGGATACAGTATACTGGATACAGGGTTCTGGATACAGGATACTGGATACAGAATACTGTATACAGGGTACAGGATACAGGATAATGGATTCAGGATACTGGGTACATGATACCGGATACAGGATACAGGATACAATATATAAGATACTGGATACAAGGTACTGGATACAAGATACTGGATACAGGATACTGAATACTGAATACTGAATACTGAATACTGAATACTGAATACTGAATACTGAATACTGAATACTGAATACTGAATACTGAATACTGAATACAAGATACTGGATACAGGATTACTGGATACAGGATACTGGATTGATACTGGATTGATACTGGATACAGGATNCAGGATACTGGGTACAGGATACTGGGAATAGGATACTGGGTACAGGATACTGGAACATCTTCTTGAATAAGCAATCAAATAAGTACTTATGGAACATATTCTCAAATAAACACTTCTTGGACATATCTCGAAAATTATGAATGAATTTTGATTGGCAATTGAGACATTAATCAATCTAATATTATTTAGAATGCAGAAAATAAGTTAAACTAACTTCATTTTGACGAAATATTTTTTTTTAATTTTCATGAAAAAGTTGCCGAAATGAGTGAAAATTTAAAAAAAAAATGCATTTTCCAGGATAAAAATCCGTACAATCCGTACAATTTGAAAACATATCAGTACAATCCGTACAATTTTAGGGTTAAAAAAAAACAATCCGTACAATCCGTACATTTTGGCCACCCTGTATATTAAAAATATTTTAACTTCATTTTCAAAATTTTTTCTTTTCTGTATTTTTTTACCTGGATAACTTCATCGTTACAGTCCAGCCTAACCATGACCTGACCCTGACCCATGGGTTCACCGGAATCACTCTCCTTCACCTGTTATTGATCGTTGATAATCATTATTTATCGTTTTTAATCGTTTTTATCGTTATTAATCGTTGGTAATCGTTATTAATTTTTCTCTCAGGGTTAAAATTTGGTCTAGTGTAAGAGAAGAAAATGTGTTTAAAATGTGTTCTAAACATTCAGTTTCTTGCACTATGCCAAATTTAGACCCCGACAAAAAAAAATGCAAAGAGCGAACCAGAATGGTCCAGCTCGTTATTCCAATTTTATTATTAAGGTAACAATATTGCAAAGTTTAAAAGTTTTATAATCTCATATCTTTGCAACCAGATGGTTAATTTTGCCTGTTAATTATGTATTGTGATGACTGTAACTATGTATTTAAATGACTGTAATATGCATTAAGATGACTGTAATACTGTGTAACATATATTTCATATACAATATGCTTATGAAAAAACTGTTTTTAACAAATAAAACTATTTAAATTTTTAAAAAAAACTTTGCTGTTTCTTTTGTTTATAAAATGCATGATGTTTACCTGTCTACCAGCGGTGAACCCGCCCCTGTGAACCAGCCACACCCTTTCAGATTCAAGCCACGCTTTCTCATCAGACACTTTAAAAACTGTTTTTAACAAATAAAACTATTTAAATTAAAAAAAAAATTTGCTGTTTCTTTTGTTTATAAAATGCATGCTGTTTACCTGTCTACCAGCGGTGAACCCGCCCCTGTGAATCAGCCACACCCTTTCAGATTCAAGCCACGCTTTCTCATCAGACACTTCATCCTCACTACGAGCCTGAAAAAAAAAATTCAAATTAAAAATTTAATTATTTTAAAAAAATTGATGCATATTTTAGAAAAATTAAAATATTTTTAGAAAATTGACGCATATTTTAGAAAAATTTAAATATGTTTCTAAAATTGAAATATCTACAGAAAATTTAAATATTTTATTTAACCAAAAAGTTTTAAATCTTTATCTTTATAAACACAAGGTTTATTGTAATTCCTCTTTTTGCTTTGTAAGCTTTTTTACATTATCGGTTATGAATTTTATTTTTTATCTATTTTTATCTAGGGCTAAAGATGCCGATCTAGCAAAGTGGAATTCAGCGGTTTAAAGAGAAAAGTTGGGTAGTCGAGTAGTTCCTTTGTATTATAGCAGTTTATTAACACATACTCGTATAGAAACAACGATACAAGGTGACTCATTCAAAGAATGATACTAATGGACATTAAACACTAGCTGAAGTGTCCAGTGTTGCCCATGAAATTTCACTTGGAACATTGCTTTTTTTTATAACCGAAAAGAATATGAATAAGCTAAAGAAAATCGCAACAAAAATGAAAGCCTGTTTTTAATTTGAATGCATCATTTTATTGCATTTCTACTTTAAGATGTCTAATTCTTTAATAACAGACCGAATTCAATGGTGTTCAAAAAAACACAAAATGCGTATGGTTTATATTTTTTATACCATGCACATTAATCTCCTTTTCCTACTACGGGTTTAAATTGTGAAATTATGATCAAAGTTAAATATTCATGAGGGTTTAAATCAGTGTTTCGGGATTTGAACCGGCGCGGTGGTAGGTAGTTGAGTGACCTCTTCAATTAATTAAAATCTGCCCCGATTGCAGAAATATGAAAGTTAGTCTTCTCTATCATCACTTTTACAGAGAAACCACAAAACAATAAATGCAGTTTAAATAAACTAAACCCTTAAAACTGTAATGTTTATACTTGATGAAACAAAGCTTTTAAGGGCACTCTTGTAAATCATTCATTCCCATCAGTGCATTGAGAGTAACTTTAAATTATGGTTACAGACCCTTAAACTTTTTTTCAGTCAACCTTTTACCTTGTTTGACATCCGGATTCAGTGGATTGTTGTCTCCAGTAAGAAAGGGCCACGTAACACTAAACCTTAGTGTAATAACAAGTTAAAACAATAATAAATGTAAGTTACAATATTTTCCCAATTTTTGTTTAATTTTTAGCAATAACAAAATTGCTACTATATACGGTATTTTTTAAACAATAGAAACTAATATTATCAAGTTAGTTCAATAAGAGGATGGGTAAATAATTTTCACATAAAAGAAAGGACTTGATCAATCATTTTTTATAATTATCATATGTGAATAAAAATAAGTTATAGATTTTACTTAAGTATAAATTGTAATAAAAATTGTGACATTAACATTAAATGGAAAATAACATTGAAAGAATATTGAAACTCAATGAATTATCAAACCTGTTAAAAATAATTCTAAAGTTATTACATTAGAATCTTTGTCCGTCCTGTACTTCTGCAGGAGACAGATAAAATGGAACTCTTAAAAACTATGAAATTTTTGATTATAATAAAAAGATTATACTTTAAAAACTTATGTTTATGCTGAAACAAAAATATTTCTACTATAGAAGTTCTAAAGGAGTTTTTACAAATATGCCAAAAAATCATCTATGACACCCCTAGGCTTATTACGCCAATATAATTCACCAAAACCATACTGGAGTCCTTTAAGTATCATACAGGGAAATTTTCATCTTTCTAAATATCCGAGGGAATGATTTTACAGGTTTTTTTTTTAAAACAAAGCAGCTATACCTAAACATTCTACATCCTTTATATTCCTGACCATAAATTCTGGCAACGAATTTTAAGCTGCCGTTAAGGGGAGATGAATAGTCCAAAAAGGTAATCTTCTGATTCAGATACTCTGCTAGAAATTTGCAGTCTGCAGTTCCCATCCATGTTCCTTTTACTCTGATTTCTTTAACATACTCTTCGACAGTTCTCACAAGCACTTAAATATTATTAATTAGCAAAATCTTCATATGAGTAAAAATAATTCAATAACTGACATGTAACATTGCTTAAGGTATAATCAATGAAAAGGGTAAATAAATTACCTCCTTGAGGACCCCGTGTGTCTTAATGCAATAAAATACACATAATTTTAATTCTATGATGCTTACCCTTTGTCAGTTGATACTTTGGAGAACAGTGAGGCAAAAAAACAGTTCTTTTCAGTAGCATTCCATAATGACCATTCGATGCAGGTATCCTTAAATATTTCATATTATAAAGGAGTTCAAGAATGATGTTTAATGAAAGTATTCCCTGTAAATATTGTAGTTGAGGGAGAATAAATATCCCTCTAGTTCTTATCCTGCATGTAAACATTTATCTTATTATAAACCCAATCGACACTATAATTGAAAAACCGTTAGAAACACAAAGCTGGGGGCTATCCCTAGGGTTCAGGGCTACAAACTAAAAGCGAGGCTTGAGAAATGGTTGGCCAGATTGAACAGTTATGATCGGGCATTTTATCAGCAAAGGTTCAAAGAAAGGAAGTTCGTCGATTCAGCAATCATGTAGTTGAACAAACAGAGCTATGAACTTTTATGTTTGTTCTGTTCAAGGTTCCTGGTTCTGTTCAGGTTAACTACTCTGCTTTGATTAAAGCAAAAAAGAGAGAGGCGGTGGGCGAAGTTTAGTGTGAGTAACCAATACTCTATAGAGGACGTGAGTCAGACTCTAATAAAACGCATATTTATCAAGCATTTTTTGGCAGAAGCAAATATATATTATATTTTCACCTACTTTAAACTTGATTTACTTTTATTGAAATTAGTTAATTAGGTAAAACTATACTTGGCTTGTTTATAACCTCGACATAATTACAAAAATAACAACTTAAATCCATATCCATAAAAAACACAATATTCTTAAATTTTGAGTGTAAACACAAAATATATTACCCTAGGAAGTTACAAAATTTCCTTCTAACTGTGCTAACTGGCTCATTGGGGAAGAGAGCCTAAAAGTAGTAGAGTTAGGGAGGCAAACCCAGGACGCCATGAGCCACCTCTATGCAGACACAAACCTCCCAGGTTTGCTAGGCAGGCAAAGCATCCGCCATGCACTAAGAGCCTCTGCTATGCCAAAAACTAGCATCCTCTGTCAACGCATTTTGTTTTAACACTTGGCTTTTACACATAATAAAGATTTTTTTATTTGTAAAATTTCAACATAAGTTGCACAAGAAATGCTCCAAAATTTTCTTGATGTATAGTGATCGTCATGATTTGTAACTTAGTGACTTATAATGTTGTTGATTTCAGAGCATAGGCGTTTTTTTTTGGGGGGGGGGGCAGTCCATTAACTCCCATGACTTGAATTAGGTGGGTGTACTCCCCAATGGTATTTTACAAACTCAATCATCATTTTAACTGTAATTTTTATATATGTTTGTAAATAAATAATAATGTATACTTGAAAATGACCACAATTAAAATAAAACAAAATACATTCAAAAAAAAGATTTTCAAGAAATTGAGAGGAATTATTTCAAGTTATAAATAATGAGATATTTTTTTAATTAATAAAAAAACATTTTAAAAAGGCATTTTTCGCTAAATTCAAAATTTACATTTGCTATTGGCTTCTTGTGATAAAAAACGATAATAATCTCTTTATTTTCTTAAAATATATTGTTTATGCATCCAAACATCCATCTTTCCAAAGCATATTGAATTTAAAAAACATTCTAATAAATAATGAATAATAACCAAATTGGAGCTGAAAAATTTTAAATTTTGTTATTTCCCTATTTTTTCAACTTTAATGCTCCTAGATTGCATGATTGAATTTTACCAACTGTTTGCTGTGTAGAATTAGGCTTTGCAAGGCGGATTATTTTATACCCATCTAGACATTGTTTTAAATTATAGCTATCTGCAACGGTCAGTTTTGGTTTCATCAAAAAATGTTTTATCAAAATGCAACTTTAAATTTAAGATAAATTGAAAAACATAACACATCCATGATAAACCAAGTTTACCGCTATGTTGTACTCTGCATATGAGGAATATGCCCATTGTCAAAACGTATCAAGTGATTGTATAACAATAAAAGTTGATGTTGTAAATATTGCTCATTACTTTGATTGGACAGGGCATCTAACCACCGACCATGAAAGAGGCTTTTACTGTATACCTAGAAAATTTGTGATGCTCATGGACGCATAGTGGAGACTCTTGGCGTCCGGGAGTTTTTAAACTAAAAAATTTGGTTTGAAAATATAATAACTAAATCATTTCTGTCTGGCATAAGTAATACAATTTACTCAAGAAAATAAAGATACAATAAACAAAAGGCAAAAGAAAATAAAATGTCGTATTATTTGCACTAATGATTGATCGGACTAACGTACATTAGCACTAACGTTCATTCTGACTATCGTTTTATTTGAGGGTTAGGTTAGATTACGACAAATTTTGGGCAGAGCGCTGCGGCTAGTATAGGCTAGGGGGCAGAGCGCCGCGGCTAGGGGGTCAGGCACTGCGGACACAAGTGTTACTAATCAGCTGACTTTAGTGCAAATGTACGTTAGTTCAATCGGACATTAGTGCAAACGGACATTAGTGCAAACGATATTGCATCGAAAATATGTGCAAGATGTAAAGTTTGGAGATCAACATTTTAAGATATATATCAAATACTCCAAAGATCATTACATAACAATTATTTCATTGTTAAATTCCTCAATATTACAAAATGGTTGTATATTATCGATTTGCCTTGAATACCCAGTACATGAAGTTTAACAAATTAACTAATTTCGTAAGATAATAAATATTAGGAAAATATACAGAACATTCACCATCAATCAAGAAGCAATTTGCTGTAGAGAACTATGTCCATGGATATATCATAGTCAAGGTTTGATGTAATTTTTTTCGCAGGGGTTGTTATGAGATACATTTCATTATAAATCAGTCTTCATCTCTTGTAACATAAAAAGAATGCTAATGTAAGCTGTTCTCTTGCCAGGGTACATTTGATGGTGCTCGGTCGACTCTACGCTGGTTAGCCTTACTAGACAGTACGACAGTGCATATACATACCAGCATGAATTGGTCAATCTAAAACAAAATTCTATTAAAATTAAAAAATTTTAATCTTAAATTAAACGGCCATGCAGTTCTAGAGTTTCTGGTACAACATTGGAATTCCCCTGGCAGTGCTTAGGATGCGGATCTGGATGCGTTGGCTCCGCAATATTTTGGCTTCCTGGATTCGCGAAAATATGCGAATCTGCTAAAATATGCGGGTCCACGGATCAAGATCCAATTGGCAAAGTATCAACCAAAAAGTGCAAAAAAATCCGAAATTTGAACTAATAAAAAAGAGATTTTAAAAATTGCCTGATTTCTGAATGCTTCCTCAAGTTTTAGCATAAAATGAGAGAACAAAATACAAAAAATTTGAAAATTCAGATACATTTTATACCCATTGTATTTGTACCTGCTGACCCTTGTATTTGTACCTGCTGACTCCTGTATTTGTACCGGCTGACCCTTGTATTTGTACCTGCTGACCCTTGTATTTGTACCTGCTGAGCCTTGTATTTGTACCTGCTGACCCTTGTATTTGTACCTGCTGACCCTTGTATTTCTACCTGCTGACCCTTGTATTTGTACCTGCTGACCCTTGTATTTGTACCTGCTGACCTTTGTATTTGTACCTGCTGACCCCTTCTATTTGTACCTGCTGACCCCTTGTATTTGTACCTGCTGATCCAAATGGTAAATGCTGCAAAGAACGGAAAGAATGCTTGACCATTCGCCATCAGTGAATCTTTAAACAAAATTTTAATGATACTATGTAATTATTTTATAAACATTCAAAAATAATTCACTTGAAGTGTTTCCTGATATTTTTGAAGTGTTTAATTAAAAAATTTGTTTTATCCACAAGAACTGTCAATATAATGTCAATTTGAGAATGCCCGATTCACAGCAGTAACCTTTAAAACTACATAGACTTTATCTAATAGAAAATTTATCATTTTTATTTCGGATCTCTTTTGGAACAACACGTAGACAGAGTGGGAAAGTGACAAATTTCGACACTTTTCAAGATAATTTAAGTTTTTTATCAGATAGGGGTATAAACTTTAAAGGGTACCGTTGTGAATATGGCATGCAACTCTATAGAGTGAAGGCACTTGGAATAACAATAAGAGTCCCCTCAGGGCTTCAGTGAAGCCCTGAGGTTATGTTTGTGCTTAATCATTTTGTAAACCATCAAAGTACTTAATTAAAATGAGAAACAAAAATTAAACTTCAAATCGTCATAGTTTTAGATATTTTGGTCGTCTTTACAATTTCATCATTTGTAAGTAACCCTGTACCTTCTAAGATTGTTATCTAGTCCAGCAAGAAGTTGATAGAACACATTAAAGTTTGGTTCTCCTTCAGGTCGACGAACTACACGGTTTCGCTACAACATCAACACCTTAAAGGGAAAGTTTAAATATTTTGTAAAATCACTTAAATTGGGAAAATAATTTGAAAAATAATTTTAAAAATAATGTCAAATAAAAATGATTTTGATGACGTATACATGATCAAGTATTATTTGCATTTGAACCACGAGATATTGTAACAACAACAACAACAATAACGACAAGAATAACACGATACAGAAGAACAACAACAGAACAACCAAGAACAAGAACTAAAACATTGATAAAACTACAAAAAACAACAAATCAAAACAATAATAAAATCAACGACAACAATAATAAACAGTACAATAACACAAAGTAAAATTCGGTGATGGTGATGGACAAAACCTCTGTAGAGTAAAAAAGTAGATGTTAGTTTCTATTTCTTATTGATTTTTTAAAATTTTTTCTTTTATAAAAAAATAAAATATGCACAAAACACACTGGATTTATTCGATTTACTACCGTTTTTACTAATTTTTAAAAGGTCTGAACCTTTTTTTTGAAAAAAAAAGGCTTTTTATACAAACACGAACCTGGTTGCGTTTGCATTCAGCAAGGTTCGACTGTTCCCGAAAGCTTCAAGGATAGTGTGAATTCCACTCAGTCTAGATTAAAACATATTGTTTTTTTTTTATCAAAATACATGATTTTTTTATTCTCCCCCCCCCACCATCATTTTTTTAAGCTTGGGTGAAAAAAGTCCCCTTGCAAGCTTTTCTCTCTAAAAAAGGTTTCGAAGACAAAGTTTTCTCCCCTTACATAGGTTGATGAGTAAGGAACAATTTTTAAAAATCCCCAAAACTAAAAAAACAATACTTGTCTAAACTGAGAATACTAGATTCTCCGCCCGCCAGAGCCAGGTAGGAAACCACGTGCCGGAAGTTGGTTGATTTCCCACTTCCGGCCCGACCCAGCAGAGCAACAGATTGATCCTGGAGAGTTATTTTCATTTTATCAAACTGTTTATTCAAAATAAACAACTTTAAAGTAAATAAATGGAGAAATAACTTTTAAAAAATTTAATGAAAATTTCCTTTTTTGTTGTCAGCAGAGCTCTATATGCACTTTGGGCCACAGAGTAGATATGTGGAGGCATGTCTTCTATCTTACACCCCTAGATAGACAGATATAAAGATAGATACATAGATAGATAGAAAGATAGATAGATAGATGGATATATATATAGATAGATAGATAGATGATAGATAGATAGATAGATAGATAGATAGATAGATAGATAGATAGATAGATAGATAGATAGATAGATAAATAAATAGATAGATAGATGATAGATAGATAGATAGATAGATAGATAGATAGATAGATAGATAATAGATAGATAGATAGATAGATAGATAGATGATAGATAGATAGATAGATAGATAGATAGATAGAGTCGAGAACAGACCTCATCTGAAGATTGGTCCATGACAATTGGTCCATGAAACATTGTGAAGGAGGATGTTTATCTGTTTTTTTTTATTGAACAATAAATTGAATATAGATAGAAAGATAAATAGATAGATAGATAGATATACAGATAGATATATAGATAGGTAGATAGATAGATAGGTGTTTATGTTTAAATTAAATATCTTATTACTATAAACCAACGGAACAAGATTAAAACGGATATAAACAAACGGGAAAATACCAGAACATACAGGATAACTGCATTTTGTATGTTCTGGAGTTATCATTATATTCTTTACATCTGCAAATTTCCTTCTCTGTAAAAATGAAATCAAAATTTTTAATTTGAGAAAAAGGTGAATTTCTTATTCTAGACTACATTGCGTTTAGTCTAGGCTAGATCTCAACCGCTCATACAACCACACCCGACGGGGTTGTTTTTTTCTCAAAAGTATATCTATCATTCTAAACAAATATGTTAATATTTTGAATGGTTATTATAAAAAAGGATTGTGTCAGGGGAGTAAAATTCGAATTTTTTAGCTAGCTCAAATCTGATTCAGTGACAGAGTCAATAGCACAGTTTTTAACTGTCTTTCCCTGAGCTACCTGCTCGGATATTCTGATCCAGTGAGTTTATATTTAACATTACTATTTGTAATCAGCAAGTCAATCTAGTTCCTAATCAAATTATTTCTTGTCTTGAACATAGTGATAATCTTGCGGGAGTAGTTTATCTTGAACATGGTGATAATCTTGCTGGAGTGGTTTACCTTGAACATGGTGATAATCTTGCTGGAGTAGATAGGAAGGTTTGTACAGGGGTTGATGGAAACTAGACCAGGACCAGCATACGTGTAGATCAAGTTGTTCCCGTACCTGGAGTACAAACAAGAAATTATTAAATGTACTGTACCTAGAGTACAAACAAGAAATTATTAAATGTACTGTACCTAGAGTAAAAACAAGAAATTATTAAATGTACTGTACCTAGAGTACAAACAAGAAATTATTAAAGGTACTGTACCTAGAGTAAAACAAGAAATTATTAAATGTACTGTATCTAGAGTAAAAACAAGAAATTATTAAATGTACTGTACCTAGAGTACAAACAAGAAATTATTAAAGGTACTGTACTTAGAGTAAAACAAGAAATTATTAAATGTACTGTATCTAGAGTAAAAACAAGAAATTATTAAATGTACTGTACCTAGAGTACAAACAAGAAATTATTAAAGGTACTGTACTTAGAGTAAAACAAGAAATTATTAAATGTACTGTACCTAGAGTACAAACAAGAAATTATTAAATGTACTGTACCTAGAGTAAAACAAGAAATTATTAAAGGTAATGTACCTGGAGTACAAACAAGAAATTATTAAAGGGACTGTCAGCGAATTTACAAATTCATTTCCAACCTCTATAAATCATTAATTTTAAAAATTTTAAAACTACCTTTGTCTTAGAGTGTGCAGCACTGAACTTTCATTTAAGAACCTTAAAAAAGAGAATTTTTTTCAAAACAACAACTAAAACATTTCAATTTTCGTCTGCAAGACCAGAGACTGATCAAGAATTTTTCATTTGCATAGAAAAAAAACGTAAAAATCGGGACAGTTTAAAATGTACTAACAAAGTATTGTGGAATGGAAAAAACATTTAAAAGCTCAAATAAAAAAATACTTTCAAACCCAAGTAAATCATATTATGTGCAGTAAACTACTGTACAGTAAACTACTGTACAGTGAACTACTGTACATAACACTGACCTGAGAATTGCAAGATCTTCAACTCTGTCGAAGGTCGGAGGATTGGCTCGTTCTACATCATCCTCTTCAACCTGATATCAATCAATCAATTAAATCATTTGATACAGTGGTCTTCGTATATATCAATACAATGAAGACGACTTTCGATTTCAATTTTGAATTCTACCAAGCTTTCAAAGAGCATGGAATGGATAATGATAAACATGAAAACAATGAGAATCTGTCAGCTTTTCTTTGTTTTTCTTGTAAACTTCATTGTATTGAAATAAACGCCGACCAAAGTAAGTAATTCATGATTAATTCAAATTATGCCGTTATTAATAGTTCTGCAGACTAAAAATGGAAGGGATAGAGGAACAGCAAATATTGGGATAAAGAAATCCCAATAAATTAATAGCCCTGAAATATGCAGGACAGAAGTTGATAAATTAGCCTATTTTTCCCCAGCAATTGATCTTAAACAGGTTGAGAATACGACATTAAAAAACTCTTGCTATGCATTCATATATCTGGGATTCACTGTATAACTTCATTTTCCAAATTTCTTCTTATCTGTATTTTTTTACCTGGATAACTTCATCGTTACAGTCCAGCCTAACCCTGACCTGACCCTGACCCAGGGGTTCACCGGCATCACTCTCCTTCACCTGTTATTAATCGTTATTAATCATTGTTAATCGTTATTAATCATTGTTAATCGTTAGTAATCCTTGTTTTGGTCTGTTTTCTGCCTATTTTTTATCTCAGGGTTAAAATTTGGCCTAGCTTGTAAGAGAAGAAAATGTTTTTAAAATGTGTTCTAAACATTCATTTTCTAACACTCCTATCTGCCAAATTAGGACCCCTACAAAAAAAAAAGCGAAACAAAACGGTCCAAAAAAGCACGTGTAAAAACGATCTTTTTGATTTTGATTTTTATTTTTAAGGTCTCATATCTTTGCAACCGGATGGTTAATCATGCCTGTTAATTATGTATTATGATGACTGTAACTATGTATTTAAATGACTGTAATATGTATTAAGCTATGACTGTAATATGCATTAAGATGACTGTAATACTGTGTAAAATATATTTCATATACAATACGCTTATAAAAAAAACTGTTTTTAACAAATAAGATTATTTAAATCTCAAAAAAAAAATTGTTGTTTCTTTTGTTTATAAAATGCATGATGTTTACCTGTCTACCAGCGGTGAACCCGCCCCTGTGAACAAGGTGTTTACCTGTCTACCAGCGGTGAACCCGCCCCTGTGAACATGATGTTTACCTGTCTACCAGCGGTGAACCCGCCCCTGTGAACAAGATGTTTACCTGTCTACCAGCGGTGAACCCGCCCCTGTGAACATGATGTTCCCTTTCAGCTTCAAGCCACGCTTTCTCATCAGACACTTCATCCTCACTACGAGCCTGAAAAAAAATCAATTTAAAAATTTGATTAGTTTTAGAAAAAATTGACGCATATTTTAGAAAAATTAAAATATTTTTAGAAAATTTAATTACTTTTAAAAAAATTTAAATATTTTTAGAAAATTAAAATATTTTTCAATACAAATATTTTTTAACCCAAAATATTTTTTTTATAATAATTTTTTTAAAAAGAATTTTTTTTTTGAAAAATATGAATAATTTTTTTGAGAAAAATTGACTAGTTTTTGTTCTAATTATCATTCCTCTGCAAACCTCCCCCTCCATTCACCCTTTTTACAAAAAGTTTAATTCATATTTTTGATGTATGATTTTTTGTAATAATCAAACATATTCAAAAATTTGATGAAAAAGTTCCCCCTCCGATTAAACTTGATATTATGAGAGAGGGAATACTTCAAGAGGAGGGGGGGGGGGGTCATGAAGAAGTGTACACCCCCCCCTCCTCCTCCTTTCTAACATCGCAAAAATCAATCAAAATTAACAAAATTTCAGATAATACTAAAATTTTCAGATGAAGCTAATTTTATATACTATTTGTAACATATAAATATAAAATTCAATTACTGTATAAACATGGAAAGAAAACAAAATATATCAAAAATTAATTTAGTGGTTTTTAAGCAAAACCATTAAAAATATCTGTAAATTTAACACTTGTAATTCTTTCAAAGTACAAACAAAATTTTAAAAATTCCTTCTTTTTATTTTTTAAGTAAATATAAAGTAATATTTATAGTAGATATAAGTAAATATAAACAAGATATTAAAGTTTCTTTCTAAAATTTGCAAAAAACTGCTAATTTTAGAATTTAAAAACCAAGAATAATAACTTTTATTTATTTTTAAAAATCAATTTCTAGGAATTGAATCCTGAGTCTTGAAAGTTCCAAACTATGTAGAAAGAATTTCCTGTTAAAGTTTCAAATTACAAAAAATAATGCTGATATGAGTTTACATTTAACAATGCAGCATTTTAAAATATCAAAAATAAAATTTTAAAAAAATCATGTTCATGCTTTAAATACGATTTAACTTTGACGCAAAATTTAGAAAAAATAAGCTTCAAGAACTTTATACTAAATTTTAATTTTTTCTAAATTTTAAAATCTTTATCTTTATAAACACAAGGTTTAAAGTAATTCCTCTTTTTGCTTTGTAAACTTTTTATATCATCGATTATGAATTTTATTTTNCCCACCTCTAGGGCTAAAGATGCCGATCCAGCAAAGTGGAATTCAGCGGTTTAAAGAGAAAAGTTGAGTAGTCGAGTAGTTCCTTTCTATCAGATCAGTTTATTCACACATACTAGTATAGAAACAACGATACAAGGTGACTCGTTTTAAGAATGATACTCGTGGGCATTAAACACTATCTGAAGTGCCCAGCGTTGCCCGTGAAATTAAAAAAAAATATTTTTGAATAGAACAAAATTTGATTTTTAAAGAAGAAAAAAATCGAATGTTTTTAGTCTATTTTACCCCCAGGGTTTACTCAAAAAATATCAATCCATTCGTCATAGCCGTTTGGCTAGCTATAGCTAACATATATATACAAATACATATATGAGCGAATAGTTATATTATATAGATTAAAGGTGTATTGGCTTTTTAGTGACTCTACATAAATCTCAAAAAAAAACTGAAAAGTTGAATTATTTTAAAGTTTGCTTTTTTGAAATCTTAGATTTGTGCGTAGCCTCAAAAAAAGCCAAAAGCCCTGAAATGTTTAAAAACGATATCTTTATAGAAGTGACACAAGTAATTCACATTTTACTGTAACGTATTTGGATGGCTTAAAACTAGCCTTATTGTAAATAATAATTAAGCATGATAAACAAATTTACCCAATTGAGAAATATTTATTTAAGAAAATGATTGTGAAAATAAAATTTATCTTAATAATCCTTTGGAGTAAATATATTTCTGCTACTTCTAAATTTAACTCAGATTCTTTGCATAAATGTAAGTTATTTTTTATTCTACTTCCTAATTTTGCCAAAACTCTTGTTTAAATGTTTATATCTTTTGTCTGAGGAAAAATTATGAACTATCTCTGGTTTCCCTTAATTGTTCATTTTTAATTGTTGTTTCTCTACGTCGGTTAGTGGAGGATTAGTGGAGGAAAAATACTAGAATTAAACACTTTTCAAGCAAAACTACAATATCTTTCACAATATTGATCAATTAAATGTTTTACGAGTACCGTTGTGAATCCGAAGGAAGGTCACTTTAAATTACATATATGGACCCTTTAATTACGAACACAAATTAGTTTAGTTTAGAAATCCTCTAATAAATAAATTCGAATAAAAGTTGCATAATTAAATCTATTAATTAATAAATGTAACAGAAATTCTTCCACCCAATTTTACCACTTTTTGGATGAAAAAAAACGAAAAAATAAACTAAAATTACTTTTACAGCCAATATTTTTATTTTAGTTATAATTTACACAAAATTGCGGAATATCAACCCTTGAATAATCTGCGCTAATTTTTTAGTTTTAATTAATTCTGGGAATTTTCTATTCAAAATTGGTCTCTCTTTAGTTACTTCTCTTAGTTACACAGTTTTACTAGCTACAGCAACTCATCCTTATAAGGGGGTTCGTTTACAATTAAAGTTTTCATAATTTCGTAGGTATAAAAGAACTTATTACCCCAATTACCCCTCTACAATCAAATTCAAGACTGTAGGTTCTCAGGAGCCTATAATTCCGACTCCCTTACAAAAAAAAAATAATAAAAAAGAGGGGGGAATTGGCAGTTTTTTTATAGATTTACTATATATAATTCTATTTTTAAGAGGCAAAGATTTACTTCATAACCTTTTACAAATAAAACGGGCAAACGTAGATCATCAGTGAAAATTTAATAGTTATCAAGAATTTAAGTTGATCAAAAAGTCATATTTCACAAAATTTGTCAAGAACGAAAGTGAGAGCTTTCCTTACTAGTTTAATTCAATTTTTGACTTCTCTATTGATATTTGCAGAGGGACGCTACGTCAAAAAGTATATTATTGCTCTGCGTAATTTCGGCTATCGCTCGGTCAAAATAATATCCAAATATCTTAAAACTTACCGGCTGCTCGGATTTCTAAAAACTGACACATACTATGATACTGTAGAGTATTAATAAGTTTCAAAACCGGTTTTCTTCACTACGTGCAATATTGGTAATCCGCGAGGTTGCTGTTGTTGTGCGAATTATACTTGAATTGCAAGTGCCACTGCTTGAAATTCAATTTGTTTACATTAGCGTACATGTTTATCTATATTGACCAATGAGAGACCAGTATTTTATAGGTTATGAAGTACAGCAGACTGAAAGTTTTGGAGGCTGGTGGTGCCCGAAACCAAAACCAGCTGATCTCTCACTAGACAGTGAACAGCTGAAGAAACCAGTCAAAATCCTCCGACGCCTGTACTCTACCCCCTCCTTCCCTTTCATTCTCTCTAGGGAGCTCAGCTGAACAGTTCGCAGAGTTATTCTCTCCTCATTCCCGCATTTAGGTAAAATATATCATTTTCTCATTTCTACAATACATTTTTGTTTAATTCGTTTGCTATGAAAAGTTAAGATCTATTCCTTCTTGTGTAATTTGATCCAATCAGAAGGATACAGGATACTTCAAGACTTGTCAGTATTTAACACACAACATTCGGAGATTTAATTTTAATCTCATATCAGTATCATATAATGTTAGTATTGTGAGTTAGGAGATATAAGCACTGAAAATGGCTGAGTTCCCCCCTTTTAAAACAAAATCTCTATTGACTAATGATTTGGGTCTGTTCTAGTGAACAATTTTTGGACCCCCCCAGGCCCCCCCCTCCTATCAATTTTTTACATGACCAAATTAGTTTTTATTTAGCATTATTTAGGGCTAGGTTAAGTTAAGACACTTTCTGGGTCGAGCGCTGCGGCTAGGATGGGCTAGGGGGCCGAGCGCTGCGGCCACGGGTTAAGTTAGTTAGGACACTTTCTGGACCGAGCGCTGCGGCTAGGATGGGCTAGGGGGCCGAGCGCTGCGGCCACGGGTAAGGTTAAGTTGAGACACTTTCTGTAAGATCCATGTACAAAATTGATAGGAGGGGGGGGGGGGGCCAAAAATCGTTCTCTAGTAATAACCTGTAAAATTGCCAAATAATCAACTTATCACAGTTATAACCATCGATTCTATAATTCCGCAAAATTTTATTATTTTTAATACTTTTTTTAGGAACTGTTCAGTCATGTTTCAGTGACAGCTGGCCTGTTCTAGTGACAGCGGGACAGTTCCAGTGACAACTGGTTAGTTTCTAGTGACAGCGGGACGGTTTTCAGTGACAGCTGGACAGTTTATAGTGACTGCTGGACTGTTACAGTGACAGCTGGACAGTGTCCCGTGACAGCTGAACAGTTTCCAGTGACAGCATATGTGAAAGATGAGCTATTAGACAATTTACTGTTTTATAGAAGAACATATTTACATCATCTATGGAGGGGGTACGAAAATTAAGTTATACTAAGGTAAAATTAAATAAAAAATGAATATTTGAAGAGGCGGCTTAAAAAAGGGGACTCATTTGAGTAATTGCCCCCCACCCCCTGGAAAAGTTTTTGCGTTTTAAATTCGATTTTTAAAAAAAATTTGTGGCATCACTTTATACGTGAATACTTGAATACTTGAATACGAAAAGGATGGGCCATGGTTTTAATTCATAAAAAAAAACATTTCAGGATGATAATTTTAGACCAGTAGGGGGAATAAAGATCCCCTCCCCCATTTATGATTTATATAAGTTATTCGTTTTAAGGGATACAATCTATGTAATACAAAGTAACCCTACATGCTCGACTCACTACAGTATCCTTAAGTCTTTATCTGATTAATGAAAAGCTAGGGTTAAAGCGGAATATTGAACTTATTTTACGTCTTACAGACAATACAATCGGTGTTTGCATGAACCGTTTAAAAATAAACTTGTATTTCAAAGGGTGTACTGTACACCGTGTACATGGTAAAAATATGCCAATATATACTTCTGATAAAAATGTAAAAAAATTATTTTTAGATGTTGTTGAAGATTGAAGAAGAGAGAGAAAAGAGGGAAGAGGTATTTATATTTTTAAATGATTTAAAGTTTGTTTACAATCATTTACTAACATATATATTCATGTATTTGCTAAATACTACTAAATAACAAAATTATCTATGTATATAACCTAGATAACGAGATGATTTATAATTGTTTATCTATGTAATAAAGCCCTTCGCTCATATACATATATTTATATTCCCGTGGAAAAAAAATTTGAAAAAAATGTTGAAAATAAAATTTCGAATTTTTTAGTCTATAACATCCCCCGGCCATTTGTAAGTGTCCACACAAAAAATCAGGCCAATTGGTCCAGCAGTTTGGCCGGTTATGCACAACATATATATATGAATGTCTTGTTTTATTATAAAGACTTCATGTTACCTATAGCTGAACCAAATTGTCTGAAATTTTTTTAGGAAATCCATGGCTTAAAAATGATTTTGATATATCCAAATCAATTTTTTTTCACGGGCAGTGCCTGGCACTTCAGCTAGTTTTACCATAATTTTATCGTGAGACCATAGGAGATGAGAATACGCTCTTCTTTATTTCCCGGGTAACAGGGAAGTCATGTTTCTTTATTTCCCTTTAGGTAATTTCTTTATCATAACTTTACAATTTTAAAACCTTGGAAAACCTTAAGGTCCAAATTCTCATTTATTTTGGTACTCACTGTAATGTGTTGTATATGACATATGATCTACTTATATTGTATTCTGTTAAAAGGGTGGGTTCGTCTGAAGGGGACCCAACATGAATGCATTGGGGATTGAATGGAAGCACTAGGTGGAGTGGGGGGGAGGGGAGGTTGAGGGAAAATTGAGCTGGTATTTTGCTTTTAGATATCTGATATCTGAAGTAAAGGGGGAAGGGATTACAGAGATTTGAAACGGTTTTGAGACTCAAAACCTATTGCTGATAAATATTGTATTAACTGTTTACATGTACTGAATGCCCTACTCCAATAAAAAGTTTTAAATTCGTACCTATCCAGGTACAACCTTCAATATAGGTTAGACTAATCGCAGTATAAGTTCTGCGTAATTTTTTATAGGCGCATTTAGATTTACTGGCAATGTTGTTAAAAAATGTTGTTGAAAATTGTTGTTGATAAATGTTGTTGATAAATGTTGTTGATAAATGTTGTTGATAAAAGTTGTGGTATGTTAAGGATGTTGTTGACGGGTGCTGTAGCCGTGTATTTGGATGTAACGGAGATATCCAGGACTGGAGATCAAAGTAAGTATTTATCTACATATATATACAATACAGCTCTTCACTCTCGTCACATATATATACATACATGCGTTATTGCTACGATTAAAGTTAAAGAAAAGTGGTTCATCTTAGTCGTAGTTCAACTACTTCTAGCTATTTATTAAATTATATATATATATATATATATAATATGCTGATTGTGGAACCCAGTAATATGCGGTTTAAACTTGGGTGGATTGGTACTTTCATACTTTTAAACACACATAACCAGGAAAGACCCGGAATTAATTGACAGTTCAAAAGGCGACTTTAAATATATATCTCTGGCAATTTTAAATGCTCAAAAAAGGCAGACTACATTTTGAAAATGGCAGAGAACTAGGGTTATTTAGTAATTATCGATTAATTAATCATATTTGTAAAACTAGATTGTAAATTTTGATTAAAATTGTTGTAAATTAATTCCGGGTCTTTCTGATTATGACTGTAGGAAAACTCCAGACAACACTGGGTTCCCAAGCTAGTAATATAATATTTAAAGCTTGGAAACAAATACCAATGTCTAATACTTAAAATGGTTGAATTAAGAAAAATATATTTGACTTTATATGGTAATCTGTGTCACTTGTTAGTGAGACACATTATGTCGTCTTCCGTCAAGTTTAGGAAGATCTTAAATTTTTTCTAATAAAACATAATTACATTTATATAGACCGTTTAAAATATTATTAGGTATGTTCGAATTATAAAAATCTATAATTTTAGGTATGTTCGAATTATAGAAATCAATGATTTTAGGTATGTTCGAATAATTACCTCCCTGTGGGTTTTAATTCTCGGCCCACTTTGTGGCTTCCTAGGAGCTTGTGATTATATTCAAAAAACATGCGAGGTAAATATCATTGAATTAAAAAAAATCAGAGTTATTATTTTCAAAAATTTATTGAACAGCAATCGGATGTTGGACATGTATAATAAGTTTTAAAAAATAACCAATAACGCATTTTTAACATTTTTTCTTATTTATTTAGATATTTATTTTAGTATATTTTCTTATTTATTTAGATATTTATTTTAGTATATTTTCTTAGCTGTTAACTGTGATTACAATGGTTTATTTTAGTATACTTTTTTAGCTGTTAACTGTGATTACTATGGTTTATTTTCTCACCACTCTACTGTCCTCACAGTTCTCGGGGTTTAGGTAAACATAAATTACAAAAAAAATGTTCTATTTAAAAAAAGTATTTTTTAATATTCATAGTTAAAAAAAATTACTTAAAACGTTTATGATGAATGTAAAGTGCCCTGATTGATTCACACTTAATATGTTAACCAAGAAACGATGATTAAAATATCTGTTTTTATTGCGCAACTTCGTTAGAATTCAAACGTTGATCAATAGAACAGAATCAGATCTTAGATATTAAAATTCATATTAGACCAGACAAAGCATTTATGGATACCGTTGTGAATCGGACATTCCAGTCTACAGGTTGGCTTATAATAGTGAATACAGACCCTTTATTAGACTAATTATGTATTTAGACTAATGAACCGGTTGTGGATTCTAGTTGGTATACTGTGGGTTGCTTCGGGCTGGTACAAGTATCATAGAAGGTAAGTACCCCCCCCCCCCCCCAAGAAATATAAGTAGAACTCCTAGATTAAATAAAGTATACAGCATTTTATTGGAGGAATTTGAGCACAAGGAGTGCTACTCTAGATAAGCTCATTGTTTACATTTCTCCCAAAAACTGCAGTACACATTTTTTTGAGGCAGATTCATTTTTTTCTTATAACACCGATATGGATATTTGACTTATGATATGGATAACACAATCATATGGATATTTGACTTCGGAGATTTTCCATTAAAAAAACTATTTAATTAAATATTTTCTCAAGTACCAGCTTCTCTATCGTACAAATTCCAAAATTGCATCCTTTCAAAAGAATTAAGTTAAATGTTTTTATATTTATCTGTTTAGAGAGTTCGGAGACGATCTGGAAAACTTTTTCAACCTGGCTCTGGTAATGAAATAATCCTTATTTTCCTTAAAGTTATTATTATTATTATTATTATTATTATTATTTAGATTGGTTCTATATCTTGGGGTGTGTCTGTACTGGTACCACTGACATTGACAGACCCTGCTTTCATCAACTGCTGTCAACTTATATCAGCTGTCTAAGCTGTCAGCTGTCAACTTAAAAATTGTTTCCAGGCTATCAACACCAGCTGTGTAGGCTGTCAACTATCAAAAGAGGTCTAACTATTAGCTGTTTCGACTGTCAACCTATCAGCTGTCAAAGAGATCAACCCATGCAACTGTCTAGACTGTCAACTTAAATAATCTAATAATCTGTATAGGCTGTCAACATCAGCTGTGTAGGTCGCTGTCGAAAGAAGTCAACCTATATCAGGTGTCGAAGAGGTCAATTTATGTCAGCTATCTGGACTGTCAACCTATATCAGCTGTGTAGGCTGTCAACCTTTATCAGATGCCAAAGAGGACTACTAGTTTTAGCTGTGTAGGCTGTCTACTTATATCAGATGTCTAGTTCTCGGCTGTCCACTTATATTAGCTGTCCATAAATCAGCTGTTAGCTTTTCTTAGCCATTCAAACACGACGCTGTTATAAGCTGTTGGCTTGTTTTTAGAGTGTCAGCCATAATAGCAGTCACGGCACCAGCCCTGAAGTTACATTTAAACGTTTTTGCATTTAAAGATTATCAATAATTACTAATTAGGCATCAATTTTGAACATTCGCAAATTTTATTAATCAGCCAGTGAGCTGTGAAACCGCTTTTCTAACTTATAACAGCTGTTTTTGTAATAATACATTTGTTTTGTTTTAAGGTGCCAAGAAATAGCTGGTTAGGTTATGTTGCAACTGTTTTCGTTATGAAACAGCTGTTGAATCCTTTAAACAGTTTTTAAGTCATAAAACAAAGTTATACAACTGTTTACAAGTTACAAAACAGCTGTTTAGGTAAAAATACAGCAGTAAGAAACAACTGTAATAGTAATAAAGCACCTCTTTTCGTAAAAAACTTATTTGAAATTAAAATAACAAGATTTTTACGTTATAAAACAAACGTTTTTTTACACAGCTGAAAAAGATTTGAATGCGGTTAAATATTTAAAAATTCTCTTGATAATGTCGGCCGTGCCGTCCAGGCTTAATGCAAAACTTTTCAATTCAAAATTATTTATTTACAAAAAAAAATGTTTAAGGCCTAAGTGGAAAGTTGCATATTTAATAACCAAAGATTCGAAAAATTACTCAATTTTTGAACTGATATTTTTAAATCTATATACTGGAAAGATTTTTAAATTTAAAACCGACATGAGTCTCAAACTTGCATTTTTGTCCAAACCTTTCTGACATTTTTAAATAACATTTACAAATTTTACATTTGATCTAGCTTAGACCAACTGAATGTGATGCAAAGCTCAACTGTACGTTCATGCAAATTTTATTTTTGTTTTTAATTTATTTGAAATTAAGGAAAAACTTAAAATTAAAAATTTTGATCTCGTCAACAATGACATTTATCATTTTTGGCGCTTCATGCCCCTTTTCAGAGAAATATGTGTCCCGGTGAAAAAATTCATTCATATTTGCTACAGTTCATATTGAAAATATTACGTTTAGAAAAAAAATTTGATTTATTTCAAACTTTCATCTTTTAATTGATCTGAGCTGGGAACTTTTGAATGGTGGATAACGAGATTAATGCTTGATCCACTCTTTCTTAATCTCCAGATTAAATAATGCTTGTTCTCCTCTTGTTATTAATCTCCAGATTAATTAACCGATCGGGATTATGGATATCTCATTCTAAAGTTTTCAGCTCTGAATAATTTGAACTGCAGATTTTTTATATTTCTTGTGTTTTTACCAAGATATTCTTTCAGTCACCTTTAATGTATAACAAATCTATAAATAAAAGTTCTATTCGTTAAATAAATGTTCGATTACTACATCTTTTTCACTTTGAACTAGAGAAAGATAAAGGTCAAATTCACATTACCGGTGGGACTTGGTGACCTTGTAGCTTCTCTAGCTCAAACTTTATGCACAATTGTACGTAAAAGCAAAGGAAATTGAGTCTTTGCCACAAATTCTGCTTTTCTAAACCCTATATCTTTGGATTCCAATGTCGTAGACCTTAGATATTTCAAACTATGAATTCTGTTAGATCAAATAATATAAGTTTGAATTATCAAAGATTTGCGACATTGGGTTCCAAAGAAATGGGGATTAAAAATTCAGAGTTTGTGACAAAGACTCAATTCCTTTATTCGGTTGTATTAGAAATGTTACTTAAATAGTTCTTCAACAAGAGGAATTATGGCAAAAAAAAAAAATTTTATTTTGCGTGAATTTACTTCAGTTTGAAGTGGTTGTGTTGTGTGAATCACTGCGATTTAATGGTCTCAAGTTTAAATTGTTGAGAATTTTGCCAATTACTTCTAAAAAAAGCAAAGCTAACAACATGTGCTTTATAGTGCTAAAATCATGTACAGGGCTATAGAAAAGCAGAAGTGAGTTAGAGCGGTAAAATCCAAACCCAAGGCGTTGCAACACTTCAAAGTCAACCCTGTCTAAAAATTGATGAGACTGTTTATAAGCAGGCTGAATCTATATGGAATAATGGATAAATAATATAATTATTTATTTACAAAACAACAGTTATGATCAGTTGCTTCCTTAAAACTCAAATTCTATTCATTGCAATCTGATGTCAAACTATGGAGAAGTTATAGATAAAATTACTACAGAGTTGGAATCATAGATTAATTAGAATAACACCTAGGATGTCGTCTTTTCAATATTTATGTGTGTTTCGTTCACAATAACGGAGTTGCGTATAGTCGGTATAGAACGAAGACAGAGAGAGAGTCTGATTTACGCCGACTACACGCAACTTCTTTGGGCTTCTGCCTCAAGGTTATTGTGAACGAAACACATATAAATCTTGAAAAGAAGACATCTAGTGTCCTATGTGTTATTTTAATTATTCTATGGTTGAAATACTGAAGGATAACACCCAGCTGTTAGAGATTAGAAAATAAGAAGTTGCGACTGGATTGATAAGTTATAATGTGGAGAATACACAAACAATTTGGGCCCGATCGGTTCAGTCGTTTTGACGTCTATTTGAGAATAATAATAATAATAATAAACAAGCAAAATGTGTATAGAGATGCAAAGAGAAAGGGGTACCTTCTTAAAAAGGTTAAAGAAAGAAATCAATTCAAGATATTATTTAATGTAATCAACTTTAGATTCTCTTGTATATATTTGTCATGTATAAAAATAGATATTCTAAAAATCGGTTTTATTCGAAGCGCCTTGTTTTGGAAATTTCAACATTTGTTGAAATAACCAGTAAATTAAACTCAAACATTATAAAACCAACTTAAGATATTATTTAATGGTTTTAAAATTTTTTATTTTTCTACGAAAAAAGTATCATAAATTTAATAAATATTAAGAAACTACAGTTTTTCAAGGAATTCATAGTTGACGCATGACGATCATGGATGGTGTTACTCATTAAGATCAATCCAAGAAATTGTAATGTACATTGTACATCGTATTTATGTTTGTGTGTTATTAATATGAAGGATGAAAAAATGAGGGAACCCATTTTTGTTTGGTTTTTGGCAGGTATTGCACCTTGAGTAGAAATCGAAACAGATTCAAATCTAGAGATATATTTCACCTGAAAATGAAATGCTTAAAACAGGGGTAAGATAAGAATAAAAATTCTTTTTTAAATTGATTATTTTGCCCTGAATATTCAATGTTTAAAACCAATTTATAATTGAATTTAAAAAAAAACTTAAGTTTGAATACATAAATCTATATCAATATATATTAAACCAGTTGGAGTGCAGAAATTTTGAAGAAAAAAATTTGAATTATTTTAGCCTAGTACCCCCAGGGTTCCCTCAAAAAATGTCAGCCCATTAAGTCCAGCCGTATGGCCAGCTATAATAGCTAACATATATACATACAAATATATAGGAGCGAAGAGCTTTATTATATATGTAATATGAATTATAATTATCCTGTAAGATAATGGATATATGGACATTTATGCTTAAAGAACATTACAACTGTTGCAAAAACCGGTTTTGCTTGGACCTGCAGCCGGCTTGATATTGCATCTTCTGTTGAAATCGACATGGAGTAATTTCATGAGATGAAGTAGTTTATTAAGTCCAGTTTCTCAGCTGAACTCAAAGTGTCAAGACCCAAAACGTATATTTGATGTTAATATTTTTATTTATTTCGAAGAATTTTGTGTCTCCAGAGGCGTTTACAGGGGGTGCGGGCTATGGGGTATTGAGTGTTTTTAATTTCAGTGTTCCTGATATTAATATTTATATTAATATATCTCTAAGAATATTGAAAAATTAATTTCAATTTCCTTTTATATTATTTATAGTAATATAGTAATAGTATTTTTTTTTTCAAACACAAAATATTTTATAATAATATGGGATGGTTCAGCTTAAAAACAATAAAAAAACTATTTTTTATCAGCCAATTGACAACAATGTTGATTTGTTCTGATCGGTATTTGTCTTATTTGTGTCAATTGCATCATTCCAGCATATTGTGTGTTTGTTTTTTTGTGCATAACTCCAGGTATGAATAGTTAGCAATTATCATAGTCCTTTTTATATATGATTTTCAGATAACAAAAGGGAAACAACATGGCTGAATTCGCTGAATTAAATCAGGTTAAAAAAAAGTTTTATTATTTATTTTTATTGGTATAATTTTTAATATTTTCTTATGTGATTATAATACTTAAATTTACGGATTGAAACGTTTTCAGTAAATCTTAAGGTCATTATAAAAATTTTTAAATGTAATAATTACTCCTATACTGATACAATTTGTACCAAAATTTAAAAAAGAGCATTTTCTTAGAGTACTGTATTATTGTGTTTGTGTGTTTGTATTTTTAAACATGGGGGCTTGAGAAGGGAGAGGGTTGTATATGACATATGATCTNAAATCAAATCAAATCAAATTATATATTTGGCCATAAACAGTAAATGTAAAATGGATAATTATAAATTACAACAATATATTACAGTTTATGGGAGGGAGACGGAGCTGGCTGAATCGGTTTTTAGTCGGCTTCCCGCACAGACAGTATTTAAGAAAAATATTAACTTGAAAAAGAAAAAAAAAGAATTATTTGAATTTACTGGTTGAAACGGATTGTTTGATTATATGAGTGGGCAACCTGGAAAGAAGAGAAATATTGCACAAAATTTTGATCGCGGAATTTTATAGTTTTTTTTCTAAGGATTGTTAATCTAAAAATTGGCTTTTTTATTTTTTTTGTGATATATTTTATTTGTTTAGTCTGGAGCAATTCCGGGAGAAAAACATGAATCACCAAGCCTCTGTCATAGAATCTGCGATTGGTGTGTTATTTGTCACTTTTAACTTTTTTAGTTCATTTTAGTTATTAATGAGACTGTAAGCGTAATTTCAAGTGAGTCTCCATACAAAGAGGGCAATGCCGGATTCACAATGGTACTCTCATATCATATATAATATAATATATCAGATTATTCAGTCATTGCTATCTTTGCATGGAGTGTCGCTTGAAATTACTTTGCAACCCGATGGTGTAAACCTGTGATATTTCTAACTATTATTTGATCTAGTAGAATTGATAGTTTGACGTATCTAAGGTTTACGACATATGGTTGCAAATATATAGGGATTAGAAAATGTGTTTGTGGCATTGACAGCCATTATTTTAAAATTACCAAGTTTCAAAGAGTTTCATTGTTAATTGTTTTAGCCATGAAAATAATACAACAAAAATAATTCTTTATTTATTAATCGCAATGTTTATAAGAAAAATTATAAATTTTACTTTAGGTGGGTCAAAATTGGGGCATTTCTTTTGACTGTGCTTTCCTTTGCTGTGGCTGTGTTGCTGTCGTTAGGATGGTCAGTTTCTAGATATCAGGACAAGGTAAATATTTTTAGATTTTAGAAATATTAGATTACAAGGAGCGGAGGAAAGGCCAGCCACAACAATAGTTCTAGTCCGAGCCACATTCTTCTCATTTCCTCGTCCGAGCCATCTCTAAATCCTCGTCCTTTCAATATATTTTTGTCTAATATCCTCCAAGATAAAACTATTTTTTGAGAATCGGCCCACATTAGGGCTTATATGAAATATTGAAATTTTGTAAATTAAAAAAAAATAATTTCAATTGAATCAAAGTTTTCGAGCTCGATGTCCTTAAAAATGTTCACCTTCTTTACGCGCATTTTCAGATTTTTCTGGTGTAGAATACCGCAAATAATTCCGAGTTTATTGCTAATCAAAGTGAAAACCATAAAATTATTCGGGGTGGTTCCTTGAGAAAAATGATAGGCAGAGGTATGCCAAACATTTTCTCGGACGAGAAATTGTTATGGCTGGACTTCCTTTTGTATATAAATTTGACACAGTTTTATATCAATTTCCTGGTAAAAGGACATCAGATAGAACTAAAGTTTGTCGCGACCAACTCCTAAAATTGTTAGACTTGAGCTTATGCCCCCCTTTCATTATTTTAAATTAACAGTCCCTTTAAATTAGAATGACTATTTACAATGTTACCCACAGAGAGTTGTAAGCTCTCACGCAAAATCAGCAATTTTACAATTCTTCCAACCAAGAAGATTTCTGTGATTTTACCAAGTCAACCAATCAAAGTTTACGACAAATCGGTCAAGGGTTTCATAAGATATGATAGGGCATACAAAAAAACCAAAAAAAAAACAGAAAAAACATAAATTTCTACTTTTAATGAATATAATTGGTAATTTTTGTTTGCTTGCTTGTATGTCCGATCATAACTCACGACCCTCTTGACCGATTTGCCTCAAATATTTTGATTGTGTAACTCGGTACATCACAGGAGCGTGCTTAGTTTGGTTTACAAATTTTAAGTTTGACTTTAAAAGGAAATCTTAGTTTCCACACAAAGTTGGGGTTGAAAGCTATAGTTCCTAGTTAAACAACTAAGAAGATGATAATTTGTAATGGTAATTACTGTACTGTATCATCTGTTTCATTTCAGGTGTTAACTCTTTTCACCTGGGCTCTTTTTATCTGCTCACTCCTTGCTGTTCTCATTCTAGCTTCTAAGTCAAGTTTAGAACAGGATTCTAACGTTTCAGTGGAATCTCAACTTACCAGGTCTTTTAACTTGAACACTTTTTCTTCAGTTTCCCTAATCATCTCGGAGGAAAATTTAGTTATTTTCTGAATTCATAAATTTTTTTCTTTAAAAAATTCTTTTTTGGAATGTGATCATGTGATAATATGCTTATCCTGACAGCTGTCAGATACATATTTTAGTACATAAAACAGGCTGAGCTCGTCTGTGTTTCTTAAAACACAATTTCATACAGGTAAACAATCCCTTCAAAGCTTTTCCTTTGTCCAGGGTGATTAGGATAATAGTTTGGATTTGGTGGATAACCGGCCTCGCCTGGGTTATCTGTGCTTGGACACTCTACTTTCTCGGTAACAGGTAAAATGAAGCACCTTCAAAACGTTTCCTTACTGAACGTTTCCTTACTGAACGTTTCCTCACTGAACGTTTCCCTACTGAACGTTTCCTTACTGAACGTTTCCTTACTGAGAGTTTCCTTACTGAATGTTTCCTTACTAAACGTTTCCTTACTGAATGTTTCTTCACTGAACGTTTCCTTCCTGAACGTTTCCCTACTGAAAGTTTCCTTACTGAATGTTTCCTTACTAAACGTTTACTTAACGTCTCCGTACTGAACTTTTCCTTACTGAGAGTTTCCTTACTGAACGTTTCCTTACTAAACGTTTCCTTACTGAATGTTTCTTCACTGAACGTTTCCTTCCTGAACGTTTCCCTACTGAAAGTTTCCTCACTGAACGTTTCCTTACTGAAAATTTCCTTCCTGAACGTTTCCCTACTGAAAGTTTCCTCACTGAACGTTTCCTTAATGAAAGTTTCCTTACTGAATGTTTCCTTACTGAATGTTTCCTTCCTGAACGTTTCCTTACTAAACGTTTACCTACTGAACGTCTCCATACTGAACTTTTCCTTACTATATGTTTCCTCACAGAACGTTTCCCACACAAAATGTTTCCTGCCAAAAAATGTTTTCTGCCATCAAACGTTTCCCACACAAAATGTTTCCTGCAACACAACGTTTCCTGTTAAAAAACTTTTCCTTACAAAAGGTATCAAAAAATGTATTGTGTAAGGAGACGTTTAGTAAGGAAACGTTTTGTGGCAGGAAACGTTTTTAGAGGTTAAATTTTCAGTAAGGAAACGTTCTTTAAGAAAACGTTTTGTAAATGCTTCGGTAAAATGATTCTGGGAACAGTGTTTTTGTTAGTTTTATGAAACACACATTTTTTCAAATAACAACATTGCAATTATGAAGAAAAAATTGTACTATCTTCATGTGATAGATTATAGATATAAAATATGTGATTTTTAGGGAATTCGGCGACGATTTCGAGAATTTTGGGATCATAACTATGGTGAGAAAAATTACTGATTTTTAAATTAAATTTTATACTAGTATTTTAAGACTCACATCGGTGACAGATTCCTTCATTGATTTATTGATTCTGCAGTACATATCCATAATATTGATTCTGCAGTACATATCCTATAATATTGATTCTGCAGTACATATCCATAATATTGATTCTGCAGTACATATCCATACATTCTGCAGTACATATCCATAATTATCTTTCACAGAAAAATCAAAATTGAAAAAAAAACTTCTTTGACCATAAGAAGGATTAAAGCCACTCTATTAAATGGTGGATCAAATTACGTCGTTAATCCTTGTAATGATTTTTTCCACTAAATATGAACATTTGTCACTTTTTAAGATTGGCACTGTAGTCTGGGCAGTGCTTATTGGATTACCTCTCCCACTGACCAATCCTTCTGTTAGTAACTGCTTGATACATTGTTTGGTTCAAATTATAAATATTGTAGATTAATTATTTTTTAACCTCCAGTTATACTCATAACAATGCATTCATTAAATTTTTATTTGTTAATTTTTTTTTGTATTTTTCTTTGATCTCTAGAACGAAAACAAACCAAATGCTCATTTAAAAAAAAATCAACATTTTTTTTCTCTTTTCTCACATTGGTCCAGACTGCTCTAACAAGTTGCATCAATTTTAAAGACTGGATTTACTTTGAAATGTCGAAACGCCTAGGCCTTTGATTATAACTCACAAACATATTTATACTTTTTTGTAGCCAAACATTAACATTTTGATTTCGAAAAGTAACATGTAATCTAGTTGTACCAAACGTATTTAAAGGGAGTGTTCGCGAAAGATTAAAGGCTTATAGGCTTACGGCAATAAATAATCGGTTTTGATCGCTACTAATCTTACTTCTATCTGTTGCGTCTATACGGAGAAAATTGTTAAAAACGTCTCATTATAGATGCAACAGATAGAAGAAAGATTAGTAGCGATCAAAAGCGATTATTTATCTCCGTAAGCCTATACCCCCATTCATTTTTTGCGAACATTCCCTTTAAAGTCGTAAAAATTAAAACCTTAAAATATGTTGAATACACTATTGATGTTTATGTAAAAATAACGTAACCCTGTTTTAAAGAAATAAATATTTAATGAAAGAAAGAACGTGGATTGTAAGAGTTCCAGAATCTCTGTTAAAGTGGTAAGAAGGAATTTATAACTTGCTCAAACTCACAATATTTCAAACTTTGACAATTTGATCTAAGAGAATTCTTAATTTTAAAGTGTGAACTATCAAAGGTCTACTATGTCAGGTTGCAAAGATATAAGAATTATGAAATAAAGATTGTGTGACGTATAAACAATTGCCAGCCTTGCAATGTTTCAGAAAATTTAACTTCTCTTATTTATCAAAAACCGTTGAAGTATTACAAAAAAACTGATTAAACAAAGTGAAATTGACAGTTTTTGTCAGGTACAGTCTCCAAATCAAAATAATCATTCATTTTGTCTTTCCCTTTTTACCAGAAAATACTGAAATAAATGGATTAAAGTTATCTTATCTATCCATTTGGAGATTATCTGAGGTTTTACTATTTTTCTGGTGACAAATTAAGCGGAACTTATCTAATTTATCAAAGTCTTTATGTTCTTCAAAATGTGTTCAAAATAAGTTTAATATAAAGATTTAAGATTTATTTAATAAAATAAACATTAGATACATACATTTATAGTTCTTTCTCTGCTTTTAGAAATAGTAAACAATTCTATAATGAAAGGTTGATAACATGTTGATATCACATTTTATGAATTATTTTGCTCTTAAAGAACAGTATATGTAACTTTAGATATTTTTACTAAAGTGTTATTTTTCCGAAAACATTTAATAGACCAATGGAAAACTGGCTAAAACTTTGTTAAAAAATACAATTGAAAAAAAGATAAGTTAATGTAAATGTTGAGTTAAAGCAGTAACAGTTATAAGTTTATAGTCACATAGTAAGGAATACAGTACAAAAAGTAGGGAAAAGCTTGCAATGCAACCCTGAAATCAGGAATGCAATGCATGCACTCACAGGGGTGTAATATTAAATTCTTAGTAAATGAGGGTAAAACACATAATTATAATCTGGACAGCCAGGCATAACCATCAAGAGCACAAGAAGCTGGAACTCCTTTTTCATTCTTGTCACAGCTGTTCTCATCATAGCTTGGTGTTAGATAGAAGCAAACCACTGCACCGGCTAGCATAATTAAAGAAAACCTTTGCAACCAGATGGAAACTGTTCCAGGACTCTAAAAAATCAAATTATATTCAAAACATTTCAGAAATTGCAAAAAAAAACTTTTTGCTTAAAATATTTACCAATTGTTCTGTCCCATTTGTACTTTCCATCTTGTGCTGAAATGATGTTTTGTCCCCAATGATGTCTTCAGCTGTGATTGAGTTCTCTGAATTGTAGACATTTATTTCCTCAGAACTTTTTTTTAATGATTGATGTTCTGATGCTTTTGAGTTACTTGTGGAGTAAGAAACTTCCTGTTTCTTATTTTCTGCATTTTCTGTTATTTTTTTATCCTCTGAAACAACTTCAATATCTTTAATTGGCTCTGTTATTTCAACTGCTTTCTCAGTAACTTCAGATGTAAGGTTCTTTTGTGTTTCTGATGCATTTCCCTTCTCATGCAATTTTTTTTCTCTTTCATTTTCTAGAAGTACTTTTTGATGTAACCTTGCATCTCTTGATGCGTAAATGTCTTCATCAATTTCAAAAATTTGATCTTGATTTTTATTTAAACCTGAAGGTTCTTCAGATTCTTTTTCCTCACTGACTGGAATGTTAATTTCCAGACTGCTCTCCTCCTTATTCTGTGTATCACAAATTTCTGAAAATAATTATGAATCATTTTTGCAAAAAGTATTTAAATATGTCTTTGAAATTTTTACCTGTCTCACTTTTTTCATATTTCAAAGACTCCTCATGTAAAATTACAGGAGTTTCTAAACCACTGATATTGTCATTGACACTGGCATATTCATCAAGATTTGTGACTTTTGTTTCCAGCTCTTCAGAACTGTTTTCAAGTTTTACATCAATTTGTATCATCTTACTTTCAGCTTTTTGTGATTCTGGTTCTTTTATTTTTAAAAGGTCTTTTGCTATTTTAATAGTTCTGTCTTGTTTTATGCCTAAACTTTCATGATCTTCAAAATTGTTCTCCTTCCTGATTGAAATGCTGTTCCCCGCACTTTTGTCTTTCTCAACTCTTAAATTACAAGTTTCTAAACATAGGAACAAATTAGTATTTTAAAATATTTACAGATTATCTTTGAGAAAGTTTTACCTGTTATTCTCTGATCATATTGCAAAGACTCTTCATGTAACATCACAGGAGTTTCTAAACCGCTAATAGTATCATCGACTTTGGCATGCTCTTTCAGAATTGTGATGTTTGTGCTAAGCTCTTCAGCATTCTCTTCAAGTTGTAATTCATTGTCCCTTGAAAATGCAAGATGAATTATTGAACTTTCAGCTGTATGATTGTTAGCACAAGGTTCAGAAGTATTCTTTGAGGAAAGAACCTTTGATTCAGGCTCTGACACATCCTCAAACTCAACAGTTTGAAATGATGGAACAGAAGATTTTTTGATTTTCTTAAAATCATCTCCTTCTTGTATGATGGGAGAGTTGTTATTACTTTCTTCATACCCTTCATTATCAGAGAGTTCCTGAATTGACATAGCAATGTTTGTATATGCTTCAGAATCACTAAATCCTCTCAAGATTGGAATGGTTACCCAGCCTTCAGAATCACTTTCTGGAAAAATAGGATTAGCATTAATGTCATGAGTCCTCAGAGCAGCTGAAGAATTATTGTTGGTTAAATCTGCTTCTCTTATAAAAACATTGTCTTTATCATCTTCTGTAATATCTGAAGTGTCAGGGGTGATACAGACATCCGGAATAGACTGAATTCTATCTTTAGGAGCGCTTTCACAACTTACTTCCTTTTGATTTTTAAAAGTTTCATTATTTTTTACAATTTCACATGTATTTTTTAACCCCGCACTTGCATCTATATTTGGGGTTTCTTGTACATTTTCTGAAATTTTATCAAATGTCTCATCATGATCTTTTACTCTATAACCAGGAATTATCTGTGGTAAATTTCCAATATTACTGCTGCCATTGTCTAAATTTGAAATTAACTTTTCAGTTCCAGATTCTGTCACTTTGACAGACTTTTTGTCATGAACAGACTCTTTTGTAATGAAATTCTCTTCTTTTTGTTTGCTTTTATCAGCAGGCTCATAATCTTTGTCTGGATTGAAATTTTCCAAATCATCACTGTGAGTCTCATATGATGAATTTTCAGAGACTTCAGATGATTTTTGAGGTTCTTTTCTTGTTCCAACTTTATACGCAACTACTGCTTCAATAGGTTCTTCCATCACTTCTTGCTTGTTAGGTTCAATAAAGTTGGAAGCCTTTCCTTTAAGTTCTGATAATTTGTTATTGATTGTTGTATTTAGCAAAGGTTTATCTTCACAAAGTTTACTTTTATTTTCAGTTTGCTCGTTTTCTAGATTGGATGATTTATCCTTAGTCTTTGACAGTATTTTCTCTTGCCTTGTCCCAACAGTATTGGCATCCTTAAGCATAACAGGTTCTTCAATCACTTCCTGTATTTCAGGTTTTATAAAACTGGAATCCTGTCCATACTCATCTTCAGAGAGCCTTTTATTGACATTTGTATTTGTGAAGGGTTCTTCTTCAAAATGTTTACGCTTATCATCACCTTCAGTTGGCTTGTACTCAGGACTAGACTTTGCATCCTCAATCTTTGACGGCACATGCTTTTGTTTTGTACCAACAGTGTAGGCAACCTCTGCCATTATGGGTTCTTCTACAATCTCAAGCATTTCAGGCTCAATCACACTAGATGAGTTGCCTTTCAGTTCGGTCAACTTGTTACTGACCTTGGTATTAAGTAAAGGACTTTCTTCCACAATTTTCTGGTTTTTATATTGGTTGTCATCACAAGAGTCACTACTCTTTGATGTACTTTTCTTTATGTTTGTGATATCACTTTCTGTTGATTGAATGTTGCCTAACATTGAATCAAATGCATCATTGAACACAGCCTGGGAAAAGCTTTCTATTGCATCCTGAAACCTAAGCACAGAAACAGAAAAATCTGGGTACAAGGGATGCAAAGAACTGCTTTCTTGCACTCTTGCATCCTCAAGGGCAGTCAAATTTGTTTGTTTATTCTTGACAGGTTCATGCAGTGCAGCTAGCTTACATTCTGTTTCAAGGTTCAGTTCTTCTTCTTGATTTTCATTCATTTCAAGGATTTTGTTTTTTAAGCTGTTTGCATTTTTAGACTCAGACTCTGCATTCCTTTCCAATGTTTTAAATTTTTCGGGCATTTGATCTTTTTTCAAATTCTTTTTCTTTTCCTCTAAATGTTTGATCTCTTTTCCTCTTATGCTTCTGATATCCTCCATCTGAAAAACAAGAATTAGGTTTCAAAATTTTAAACAAATTCTTGATTTTTCATTTAAATTGCTTGCCTGCTTTTCGATTTCGATTTTGTCACTTTCATCAATTTCATTTGATCTAAAAAATAATTACAAGGTTATGAAAAAGTATCTTTTTCTAGCAGTAACTTTGATTTTATTTAACTAAAGCTGATTTTTTAGAGGTTATTAAAGGAACAAAATAAGTAATATAGTTTTTATGATAATGAATTACCCTGTAGCCCGAATGATGAGCATCCCACATGTCACTAGCTGAGGACTTGATATTTCTTCGTAATCAATATCTCTGAAAATATCATTGTACTGAAACTGCTATGATTGCTGCATTCTTAATGAATCAATTTGAACTTACTCATAATCATTGTCTTGGAGCGGAGCAAGCATTTCTTTTGTCTCAATAACCTCCTCCACAACCATAAAGCTCTCTTTCCTTCCTGGCCCCAGGCTAGCTGCTTCATCTTTTTTGGCTTTTCCTTCCATGGTTAAGTTCAGTGTCAGACTTTGATGATATTGATGGCTTTCAGATTTTATGTAATGTAACTTAATTACTTTTCAGCATCATTTTCTATCTTTCTAAACTTAGAACATGAAACAATGCACATATTTTTTAGCTTAAAGCAACGACACTCTGTCGAACGTGTTCAGTATGCTTTGTACAGTGTACAACAAGTTATCACCACAATGTACAGTAAGAACAGAATGATCTGAACTGTAAGAACTGAATGTATGTACAGTGTACAGTTAAACTGAATGTATGTACAGTGTACAGTTAAACTGAATGTACTATGAAGAGAACAGCAAGTGCTAACGGATATTGCTGATATTGAGATTGTGGGGTGTTTATTTCAACTGGGCAGAATACTCAAGAAGATTCAGGGGAAATTATTTTTTACAAAATTAACATATTTTGAATATTTCACTTCAATGTTGTTTAGACATGTTTGCAATGATTGATCTTTGGCATCTTTTACAGATTTTAATCTTAGATTTTTTATTTCAGTAAATATTTTGTCATGACAAAATTTGTTATAACTTTCATATAAAAATTATTAATAATATAATCATTGTTTATTATCTTATATTAAGTAGAAAAAAGGCTGAAAAGGGGTGAATAATAACAAAGTTTTGAGAATTATTTTTTCGATTAAAAAGGGAAAGCAAAAGGAAAGTTTCCAATCTCATTTTGTGTTTACTGTTTATAATAAACGAGAAAGCAAAATGTTTAGGATTCAAATGACCTCCAATAGGCATTTGTATAAACACATATAAAGACGGACGAATTAGGTGAATGGATGATTATAGGGTGAAACAAATCTCCTTAAAGGGACTGTAAAGGAAAAATGAAAGAGGGTATAGGCTTAAAGCTAATTACTTTAGCTCTTGATCGCAACCCATGAAATTTATATCTGGTGTTCCTGTCTTGAGAAATTGATATAAAACTGTGTAAAGTTTATAGCAAAATTCATACATATATATACAATCTAGTATAGAAATGGTAGGTTTAAGCAGCATTCAGCAAATATGCAACCAATCTGAAAACAAATATATCCCAGAGAAACCTAATTGTAATTTTCACCAATTATTATTTATAATTTTTATTTTCTTTTTTGATAGATATAATCGATAATAACTTATGACGTCATCAAAACTCCTACCAATGGTAGTGCAGTATACTGGTCATGTGATACAGACAGAGACACTTGACTATGGTTTGGTGCACTCTCATTGGTGGGAGTTCTAGGCTGCATATATATGAATATTTAGGGATCAAACATTTATCCTAAAATTAAAATAAATATCCCATGTTACATATCTAGATCAATCATTCAAGATTTATGATACTCCACACAAAATGTTCGTTTTAAAATGACTCAGATTGTTTATAGGAAGTATGAAGCTAGACATAAACATTATTCTTTTACTTTTATAAACATTGAATTCCTTTCCCCGGAATCAAGTTTACACCTTCAGGAAATTTACAGAGAGACCCGATAAATATCAAAATTTTAAGATGATCTTTACTGCATCAGTTTGCAACCCCGAAATTTTAATTTCGTTGAATAAAGATTTTTTATCGAAATGAGAAGATTATCTTGAATTGGAATTTATGAAAAAAAGGAATACTATTCCCTTTATTGCAGTGTAAACATTAGAGTTTAATCATATTTAAGCTAGATGTTCGCCTTTAGATACATATAGAAATATACGTTAATCAATCAATCAATACAGTGGAATTAATGTCGTCTTTTTATCTACGAAGTTTAGAAATTTTTATTCGTTAAACTGTTATACGTCTAAAATGTGAAGGACTAACACTTTCAGAAATATGTAACATAATATTTATAGAGGTTTTCAAAACAAAATTAACAAAAAAACTTACTTTTTCATTAACTTTTCCCTTCCCAAAAGTCCACTGAATGGTTGAGCTATATCTCATTTGTTCACTTTATTTGCCATGCACTGAAGTTGATTCAATAACACTCTATTTTCTATTAATCACTATATTAACTAACTAAAGGCTTGTCTGTGTGCGCATGAGTATTAAAGTCGTCTTCAAAGACAGTTATTTCAAAAACAAAACTAGAATTTGTTTCAGGAACTTGTTGTCTGTATTCTTTATATATGTTAAATTGTAAGTTGTCTTTTATCCTGGGCAATGACTATAAAAAATAATTTCTTTTAAAACTTTCAACCTTTTCACAATTTAAAAACTTTTTAAAAAAATTACTATTTTTCACCATTTCATATTTGATGTTTTGATGAATAACTGTTATAGAACTAAACAATAACTTTTAACTTTATTTAGATTTCTGAAAAGTTTTCAGATTTAGTAAATCTTAAGCATACTGTGTATAGTTATATGCTTGACTTGAGTGGCCTATTTTCTAGGCATATACAAATTTACTGCTTTAAACACAGATCAGGGAGCTGATGGATAGTTAGATAGATAGATAGTTGCATAGTTCAAAATAAACAAATAGATTTACTCGAAAATCATGATTTTATGATTGAACTTTTTTAACTGCTATAGGGGGGGGGGCGGGAATTAAATTTTTTATTAAGTGAAAAATAATTCAGTTTTGCTTTCGATATATGTATATTTGAATCAATGGATGAATTCTAAATAAATTGATAAATAGATTTTACTAAATAGATATATGTGTATATGAATCAATTGATGAATTCTTAATAAATTGATAAATAGATTTTACTAAATAGATATATGTGCATACGAATCAATTGATGAATTCTAAATAAATTGATAAATAGATTTTACTAAATAGATATATGTGTATATGAAATAATTGTTGAATTCTTAATAAATTGATAAATAGATTTCACTCAATAGATATATGTGCATACGAATCAATTGATGAATTCTAAATAAATTGATAAATAGATTTTACTAAATAGATATATGTGTATATGAATCAATTGATGAATTCTTAATAAATTCATAAATAGATTTTACCAAATTGGTATGTGTGTACATGAATCAATTGATGAATTCTTAATAAATTGATAAATAGATTTCACTAAATAGATATATGTGTGTTGTACAGGGTCACCCACAAAGGATGAGACTTTAAAAACGACCTGAATCTCTTTAAATATGACGTCTTCAAGGTCAAATTAAGAGTTCTGACTTAAGTGCAGTTTTTAAATGCCTTATTTACCGATTTGGCAAAGAGAGACGTACTTAAGTTTACAGTTGCAGGGAATCCCAAATTTAAGAAAACAGACAGTTCAAATTTCGTACAATCGTCTCTGAAGTAGCTCATCCTTTGTGGATAAACCTGTAGATAAATTGATAAATAAAAAAGCTAAGTTTGGATAAATAAAGCACAAAGTGACGACAATTAAATCGTCATCATTCACTTTATTTCACTTTTCCCGGAAAATGAAAGGTCTGGTATAGGCTATAATGTCGAAAAGAATTCGATGGTTATCGCCAGTTGTACTTCTAACTATTGCGTCTATAAGGAGAAAAGGACCCATACAAATTTACGAAGTTGCAATATTTCACTCAGATCGTAAATAATTCGATTAAATTTAAAACTAATCATAAATTTAGATATTATAACCTGTAAATGCAGTCGAATATAATTCGATGCATTCCTATAAAGATGATAATTCATAATATTTTTTATTCTTTTAGTGTACATAATGTACTTTAATTACGACAATTTTTTTCGACCGCTAGGTGTCTCTCCCACGTGGAAACCTTTTAACGTCGAGGGCAGAGACACTTAGCGGCCAAATAATTGTCGTTTAAAGTAAATCGTGTACAAAAAAAGATATAATTATGAAATATCAACTGTATACTGATGCATCAAATTGAACTTGACAATTATTGGATGTAATATCTAAAGTTCTCATTTCAACTTTAATTCAATTATTTTCTGATCTGAGTTAAATAATGCAAATTCATGAATTTGTATGGGTCCTACGGTTTTCGGTATGAGTCGTTTTTAACCCTTTTCTCCTTATAGACGCAGCAGATAGAAGTAAGATTAGTAGCAATCACCATTGAATTTAATTCGACGTTAGCCTATACCCCCTCTCATTTTTCGCGAACAAACCCATTAAAGTCAGTTTTATAAAGGATACTTTATTCTCCTGCTGCCTACTTTATAGCCCTGGTGGAATGGGCTATAATATGTTTCTAAGCTTGTATACGCTTATAAGAAAGGTAGTCGCAAGATAAACATCTTTTATAACACATACCTGCAAAAAATAATATAATTTATATAATTTATATTTATATACAGTTGTCGTCGTATATATCAATACAGCGAAGACGACTTTTGATCTCAATTTTCGATATCTACCAAGCTATCAAACAGCATGGATACACATTAACATGGACACATAAAGAAGCTGTAAATTAAAAGGATCTTTTTGTTTACTTGCAAACTTGTAATTTGAAAACAGCGAAATCTAAACCTAAATAAAAAATTCGTCTTCATTGTATTGATATAAGCATATCATCACGAGGAGTGATTAATTACGATTGATGGCACATTTAAAAAAAAATACATTTAATATATGTTTTAGTTATCTTTAACATTAAAGGCTTCTTTCCTTCATCAAATGTAAGGAACTGTATTCAAGAGACGAGAGTGGAGGGGGGGGGATGATCATTGTCCCCCCCCATCTTCTCAATTTATTACGGTATAATCATTCATGGCCTAAAACGAAAAACAATTTAAAATAATTAGAAAAAAGAACTGGACGTTTTAATTATCTGTACTATACCCCTTCTCAGACTCCCCCCCCTTACCCCTGTACTATACCCCTTCTCAGACTTCCCCCCCCCCTCCCTACCCCTGTAAGCCATTCGCTCCGCATACTTTTTTTTTGCATAGTGTTGCAAAGCTAACATAGATCATCTTACAATTCTGACATTTACAGAGAATTTCAGACTTTATAAGATGTCATAAAAGACTCCATTTACTAACTTAATTTATGAATGCGTTATGCAACCACATTGCAGTTTAAGCTTATTAGGTAACAATTATATAATTGTGTGGAGTATAAAAAATGCCCCCCCCCCACGTAAAGGGAAGGCTCTAATTATTAAACAATATTTTTGATTACTTAAGTTTCTACAAGAGAGAAAAATGATATTTTTAGGATAGATATAATTACCCCTTGCCCTACCCTTTATACGCTCTTGCCACCCTCGGTGTTTCATGCTTATTTGGAAGCATTGCACACATTTAGAACACTGCGAACTCTTAAATAATTGTCATAAAAAAGTTTCTCCGTGCTACCACCAAGTGTGAAAACAGGGGTCAATAATTCCCACAACTGGGTCTGCTAATTAAGTTACTATCCTAAGAGATTAAAAAAGTTTAAATTTAATCATTCATTTTAAATTTGTTTTGAAAAATGTGAATATATATTTTCCCCTGAATTGTAAATTTGTAACAAATCAAATTACGGAAACAGTAAAGTGCACCACCCTTGTACATATCAGAAAAAAGGAGAGGGAGGAAATAAGGAGGTATATTAGAGCTGGATTTAAGGGATTTAAAAGATTTGATAGATCATTTATATGGTTTCTAAGCTTTATATTTATGTATGTATACAAGTTAAAGGGGGACTGCTACAAAAGTAAATATGATAAGTGAACATTAACTTAACTTTAGTGAAATATAAAATATTCGCAAAGATACCCTTTAAAGAGACTTTCATCGTGTAATTTAATGTCGACCCTCCATGTTTTGCGCCTGATTCACAGCAGTACCCTTGAAACCTTTATTTGATCAATAATGTGGAAGATATTGTCGTTTCTTGAGGTTGCAAGTGTTTATTTCTGATGATTATAATATGATTCCCTGCAGAAAAATGTTTAGAAGTCCCTTTTCACCCCTGTTGAAAATAAACAGTTTTCAAATTATAAACATTCGTATCTAATTAATATTTGATCAGACACCGCTTTTAAGGGTACTGTTGTAAATCGGGCATTGTCATCCTTGCATGGAGGG